TTATGGCTTAATCCGCCAGTTAGAAAGCTTTACGCTTATATGAGACACTTGCAAAGAACATGATCCTAGTATGGCAGCTTGTACTTTAGTGCCTGAGACGCCAGGGAAGTTTTGCACTTTCCTAGAAGGCATGACGTTGATTCAGACTTTTCCGAAAGGCACTCGACTGTACACAGCTTCCTACCCGGGATGTCCAGAGCCTCCTCCACTGACAGAACCTTTGCAACTATGGTATGATTCCCCTTCTCCAGAACAGCGATTGAATCCGAGTTGCTGCTTGACAGAGAAAGATGCGTATTTAGACCTGTTCTCAGGGAATCTCAGTGAGACATCAGTACGCATTCTTCCCGATACAGGCGCAACGCACTGTTTCATCGCTAAGGCTTTGGCAGACCGTCTTGGATTAGCCTTAGAACCTTCGCCATGCGCGCCGGTACGCCTTGCTGATGCATCGTACGCGTCCGTCGCTGGTGTGTGGTTGTTACAGTGGGCTCCAGACTCCCGAAGAGTAGAGCCATCGGGCCAGCTGGCCGTGCACTGCAGTAGAGACTAATATACCAAAAGATTATCACCTCAGATAATTAACCTCTCATCGGTAACCGCTCTCGCGAGCACAGCAATTTGCCAGATATAATTCTCAAGAAGGGGTGATGTGCGCCAACGGAATCCCAACCTTTCCGTGGAATTCCCAAAGCTGCGAAACCCTGAATGCGGCCCCAAAAGTCAACAATAACTCGACAAATTGCTTCTTCCGTAAGGGAAGGGCCAGGTAACAGTGCCGGGTTGGTTTTCATGTTTGCAGCCATATAACGTCTCCCATGCTCCATGGCTGACACCGCAGCAAGAGCCACAACATCCCAAACACATTGTTGCACTGATTGTGGGGCTTGGATAAGCCAAAGTTGCTCCCTTGAGACTGGCACTCCTATTGAGAGAGTAAGTTGATCTGCTACTGCCTGTGCCACCGGACAGGCCCAGAAATGATGATAGCGAGGGGATACACCTCCCACTGAACCTATTGGATAACCTCCACAACCACATATCGTTGGGCTCGACATCCTAAGATGGGAATTTCCTAACATTTCCTAACATTTCCTAACGCTGGTGAATGTAAAACTCGCCTTCGCATCGAAAAATAGCATCGCAATTCTCTCAAGGCGTTGATTTGATTACCCCAAGTAGCTCCTGTTCACCCGTACTGTAGTTCCGTTCAGCAGGGAAAAATTTCTTACTGGTAAAGGCGACCTGTCGGTCATTTTGCAGGAGTACTGCGCCAGTTCCGTTCAGCGAAGCATCTGAGATCACTTCGAAAGGCTTTGTGAAATCCGGGTAATTCAACAAAACATCGTTCGATAGTCGAGCTTTGAGCGTTTCAAAGGCTCGTATGGCTTGCTCAGGCCATTCATCTGGTAATCTTTTCGCACTGAAGAGATCGGTCAGGGGTGCAGCAAGGGAGCGAAAACCTGCGATAAATCGCCGGAAATAGTTCGCAAGGCCAACGAAAGATCGATGTTCAGAGATGTCCTTTGGCAATGGCCAATTTCGAATAATCTCAACCTTCTTAGGATCCATACGGATACCTTGTGCGTTCACGACATGTCCAAGATATTGGACTTCGTCCTTCCAAAAATCGCACTTGGAAAGCTTGACATGTAACTGATTTTCCTCAAGGACCTTTAACACCACCCTTAAATGGCGTGCGTGTTCTTCGGGGGTCTTGGAAAATATCAGGATGTCATCCAAATAGACCGTGACAAATCGGTTCAAGTACGGTGCAAAGATGCGATTCATCAAATTCTGGAAGGTTGCGGGGGCGTTCGATAGGCCAAAAGGCAATACAAGCCACTCGAAGTGTCCGAGATGGGTTGTGAAAGCCGTCTTAGAAACATCTTCTGGAGTAATCCGCAACTGGTGGTAGCCAGAAGCTAAATCAAGGGCCGTGAAAATCGATGCACCAGCGAGACGATCGAGTGTATCATCAATCCGGGGCAACGGGTATCGATTCTTGATAGTAATCTTGTTCAAAGCCCCGTAATCAATACACATGCGTAACTCTCCGGTTTTCTTAGTCACGAAGAGGATCGGAGCGCCGAAAGGCGACGTCGAAGGACGAATAAAGCCTTTCGCAAGCAAATCTTTGACTTGCTTCTCTACTTCCTCTCGTTCTAACGGCGAAAGTCGCCACTGGGGTCGGAAAGTCGGTTGCGCATTCGGTTCCAACGGGATAGTGTGGTTAACACCTCTATCCGGTGGTAATTATGTGATCGGTGCGAAAATTTTCGGAAATTCGTTGATAATCTCCACAAGGGATTCATTCTCAGCAATGTGTAGCGGCAGATCCACAGCATTAAGCGTTGGTGTGTCAGAGAGCAGGGATGCGGTTTGCTTCACGACAACAAGCAACGATCGACAGCCAGCTTCGTTCAAATCACGAAAAGCTCTTTTCGGAAGACGATCTGAATTGTCTCAGGTCTTTTCTCAAGAAGCGTGACTGATGGTACATGGGAGGCCGTTACGGGAGATGGCGCATTCTCCGATCGTAACGTAACCGAAAGTCCCGTGGGTCGTCTCAATCTCAAGGAACCTTCCGCGGGTCTTTATTCTGCGCGGTATCTTCTCAGAAAATTCTGACCCAAAACAACATCAGCGGACGTGGTTAACGTCGGCAGTACGAGAAAACGGACTTCGGCTCGAAATCTTCCGATGCGAAGGCGAGTTTTACATTCACCAGCGACGGACGCGTACGATGCATCAGCAAGGCGTACCGGCGCGCATGGCGAAGGTTCTAAGGCTAATCCAAGACGGTCTGCCAAAGCCTTAGCGATGAAACAGTGCGTTGCGCCTGTATCGGGAAGAATGCGTACTGATGTCTCCTCACTGAGTTTCCCTGAGAACAGGTCTAAATACGCATCTTTCTCTGTCAAGCAGCAACTCGGATTCAATCGCTGTTCTGGAGAAGGGGAATCATACCATAGTTGCAAAGGTTCTGTCAGTGGAGGAGGTTCTGGACATCCCGGGTAGGAAGCTGTGTACAGTCGAGTGCCTTTCGGAAAAGTCTGAATCAACGCCTTCTAGGAAAGTGCGAAACTTCCCTGGCGTCTCAGGCACTAAAGTACAAGCTGCCATACTAGGATCATGTTCTTTGCAACGTCGATAGTGTCTCAGATAAGCGTAAAGCTTTCGAACTGGCGGATTAAGCCATAAGGTGTGGCCGGAGCAATCAAGCGACAGAAATTGACGCGATTCTGATCCAAAAGATTTACATACGACAGTATTGCCATCGTCACTTGCACAAGCGTCAAACGTAATCGTCTTCCCAATACGGGCTTCTATTGTCGCAAAGATTTCGCATTCGTGAACACGCATCACATACACTTCGCGTAATCGACGAAGGTAGTCTATCACGAGGATGATCATGCGCACGTAATGCAAGCGGATGTTCTAAAGGTCTCAACTCGCGCTCAATCTGCACACACACCGATGCCAAGACAGGTTTCGGTTGCGTGAAAGTCTCTAAAGGGTCTACGCGCGGTTCGAGTCTCAAATCATCGTCTTCTATTCGGCAAGTCCCAGCCTGCTGGCCACTCGGCAGCTGGGCAACACGTCAGTTCGAGCACGTCTTAGCGAGGTGTCCCTGGCGACCACACTTCGTACAAAGACCGTATTGTTTGTAAATGGCCCATTCGGTCGCTGAGAGGTCGTTCTTGCGTTTCTTTGTGGAGTTCTCCGCGGCACTCAAAGGTACCGGCGGTGTCTGTGTCGAGGGCACCGGTCGCGACGGCCCAGCCCCGTCGTTGAGTCTGATGTGTCGTTTACTGAAGGACAACAAGTCTTACTAGTACGAAGAATTTGACCCTCCAGAAAGGTTCGAAGAAGCTGATGCCTAGATGGATTGGACCTTTCCCGGTTGAGAAGATGATCAATCCTGCTGCTGCTAGATTGACTCTTCCAGAGGAATATCGTTTCCATAACGTGTTCCATGTATCGTTGTTACGACCTTATCGATCTGATGGCACTGTACGACCTCCTCGACCTACAGTCGGAATTGAACCTGATATATATACCTCTGTATGGACACCTGAACGCATCCTAGATCATGATCAACGAAAGCTCCGAAACCGAACCCTGACACGGTATCGTGAAATGGGTTGGTCACGGGCATGAGAATAACAGATGGATTGAGGAACCTGCTTTCCCCGACAGATCTCTTATTGATGCCTATTGGACTGTGCGCCGCGTGGACGCAGGCGTCTAGAAAGGGGGGCAGATGTTGTAGCGCCTTATAGCGTTACAGAGCCAAATCGCCAAGCGATGAAGGCGTGATTTGATTAAGACTGATCTATGAACAGTCTATGAATACTTTGAGATTAATAAGTGTTTCCTAATTAAGGATTGACACTCTTTCAGGGTTCCTACCCTAATCGAACAGACACCTCGGTCTAACCAGCCGTCAGGTGGTCCGAAGGGACACTCTACGACAGAAGTCGTTGCGGCCTCCTAAGCAACGAATATTATATATACTCGGGAGGGAGCCTGGGTTGGATGATTAATATCTATATATTAACAAAGAGACAGAGTTTTGTTACTCTATCTTTAGACAAGAGCCCAGACCTTGGCGGAGCGAATCCGTCCTGTGACTTTCGGTTCTTGCCTACATTACGCGCCAACAGTATGTCAAACAACCGTATATAGTATGTCATACACACAAGCCCATACCTCTGAACGGCCTCCGAACGGCCCTTCCCTTCCGCAGGGTCGCTCAGCGGCTCATCGAGGAGCATTGCACGACCACCGGCATCCGCGGAGGCAGTGTCGGCACCGTAACGATAGCTACTACCACTGCTACTGCTGCTGCTAGTTCTACTGCTGCTGCTACTTCTATTGCTACTGCTACTTGTACTGCCATTAAGGATATCGAAGCTGGAAAGGCCGCCACAACCGAGGAGGCGGAGGAGGACGGCGCTGGCAGCGTCACCCGGCACTACGGCCAGCCCGCCCACATGCAGATGTGGCTACTGCTAAGGCGGGGGGTTGTTTCCCAGTGGCGTAATACGCAGTACAACGGAATGCGCTTCGGCATCGCCTTTGCGCTCCCGTGGATCCTCGGCTCGCTGTACTGGGGTCGGGGGAAGGAACGGTGCGTGGGGTGGGGAGGAGGGAGAAAAACACGGCGGCGACAGCCCTCTTGGTTGACCGAGAGACATCTGATATGGTGCACGCAACTGTGTTGACCATTTGCAGGAACTCGATGGTGGGTTTAATGGACATCATGGGTGTCATTTTCAGCGGTGCGCTGTTCCTACCCATGACCAACCTCATGATGGTGAGCAGCAGCGGGAGGAGGGGCGGCGGGAGGGGGAGGTGGGAGAGCAGAGGGTTCCGCTTGGTGATGTGTGTGTGGGGTGGGGATGTTGAGGCTAAGTGAGGGGAGGTGATCTGTAAGTTTAATTGTCATAAGGCACAGCTCGCAAACATGCAGCTTCTAGTCTGTCATGTTTATAAAGGGTGTGTGTGGGGAGGGGGGGTAAGGCCAGGTACGAGGTGGGCGGACCCTTCATTCGGTTATCGTGATGCGGACATGCCGTACAAAATAATGGCGCCAGACAACCTGCCGGGTGCCCTCTTGGTACCGTACCACGGCGAGTGGTGCCGCACGTCCCCTCGCGTCCTGGTTCCCCCTTGCCCCTTCCCATGATGCCGCAACACTATGACTGCTCCCCTACCGTCCCCCTTACGTCACACTCACAGCTGGGGCCCCCTGCACCCCAATCCACCGCCTTCCATCCCCCTCCGCACATCCTCACAGATCATGCCCCAAGTGATGAACGAGCGTGTCGTGTTTTACCGGGAGAGGGCCTCCGGCATGTACAGCCCAGTGGTATTTGCTGCCGTGCAGTCGATGTCCGAGATGCCCTTTGTGTTTCTGGAGTCCGTCCTGGTACGTCGTGCCGAGTAAATGAGCCTCGGGGGGAGGAAAAGGAGGGGAAAAGTGGGACGCGGGCATAAATGTCGGGGTTTAGGGGCCTCAGGCTGGGGGCACCGGTGAGAAGTTGAAAGGGTATCCTTGGAGATTGCAGTCAGTTGCCGTACTCGTACTACAACCGGTAGCCGCTCCAGTTCCATGATCGTGTGTGTTATGCCCCGCTCCGGTTTCCGCCGCAACCTGCTGCCCATGCCGTACTGCAGTACGTCGTCATCATGTACTGCACCGTACAGTTCGAGTTTACGGCGGCCAAGGCGCTGTGGTTCTGGTGGGTCCCGTCAATTCTTGGTTTGGCGTTTTGTTGTTCACAGTTCTCTCCCTTATCTTTTCGGCGTGCACAAAAGCACACGCTGGACGACTGCCGTACATACTCTTGTTTTTTTCAAAAAACATAGGCAGGCGGCTGGCAGAGGTTAAGGCCTGACTTCTGCTCCCAGTTGACCCAGTCGACCCAGTCGACCCGGGTTCAAATCCGCCTGCCGGCTCCTCGGGTGTTTGAGGAGTGATGAAATGGGAGGTGGCCCCCCATCTTATGGACGGTGTAGGACGTGATAATATCAACTTGCGAGCTGACCAGGAACTAAGTTGATGCGCCGTTGATCCGCTAGATTTGGTTGGATGCTGGTGGTGAGTTGCCGAACTCAACGAATACATTCTGAAGTCGGATGGGGTGACGGATTAGGGTGCCCCTCTAGCAGGGGAGAGCAGGGACTGCCCCGGGAAAGGGGGCCGCTGGCGAAGTTAACCACCCTGTAACAACATACTCTTGTGTCTGTACAACAGGTTGTATATTTGGTTTGCGCTGCTGGTCTGCACGTTCATGGGCATGGGCTTCATGAACTTGTCTCCCAACATGCCGGCGGCTATTGCCAGCTGCTCGGGCCTGGTGCTGCTGTGGAACCTGTTCTGCGGCTTCCTCATCTACAGGAGGGTAAGACCCTAAAACCCACCCATCCACATACCCATCCACCCACCCATCCACATACCGCCCTTCCTCACTGGGACCTGTCAGCTTTAGGTTTAAGACCGCGCTCCAGGCGACGAATCAGTGGGCCCTGCTTGGGGAACTCGTCGTTTGTGCATGCATGTTCTGTGTTGTGTTGTATGCTTTGTGTGCTTGCACCGGCTGAGAACCGGCGACGTTCGCTATTTCCCACTTACGCACCCCGTGCGCACCTCGTCGATCTCCCTGTCCCTCGATTTTTAACCCCAAAGTCACATCTGTCTGTCAATCTTTGCCATCTCTCTCTACTGCTAGATTTACATCATTTACCTTCACCTTCACCATTTCTCCCTTCCTGTCCCGGGGCCCCCCCCCCATTCTTTCCTTTTCTCGTGTCCTACTCAGGACATCAAGCCCTGGTACTTGTGGGCCTACTACGGCAACCCCATCACCTACATCATCTACGGCTGTATCATCACGCAGCTGGGGGACGTGTGGGACGAGCAGGTGGAGCTGGGAGAAGGGCTGGCGATGCCCGTGGCAGCCTTCGTGAAGGAAAACTTTGACTACGAGTGAGTGTACGGCGCCTTACGTCATCATACTGTTAACAAAGCATGAAGTGTGTATGCATACGTATGTTTACCTAATTCTTCACCGCCTAACATGGATTGTGGCGGATGGTTGGATTTCACCTATTGCCTGCACCCTCCTTACCTGCGCCGACTGACCCCCAACCCTCAACCCCTACTCCATGGCCTGGCCCGCCATTTCTGCAGCTATGGCATGCGCGGCTGGATGGTGCTCATCCTGGTCGGTTTTGTGGCACTGCTCCGAATCGCCTCCTATTTTGGAATCATTCGCCTCAACTTTGTTAACCGGTAGTGGACGCGGGAATGCGAGAACCCCTCCCTACGTGGCTGACGTAGCGGGAGGTGAAGGCGGAAGGAGGTGATGGCCTTGGCGGGGAAGGGTCCGGGTCTGGTATATGATGGAGCAGCGGGTGGAGGCGCCGGCGGCGCGGCTCGGGCTGGGGAGGAGACGGAGTGAAGAAAACCTGGGGGGATGGAAGAGCTAAGGGTTTTTCCTTCTTCGTCGCTCCTTAGGGTGTCACGCGGTGGGTTTTTGCTGGGCGCGCGATTCATGTTGCATTTCCCAGAAAACGTGTACGATTGCGAATACCAGGAGAGGAACAGTTATTTATGCACAACACTGACACGACCGTGAATGAAATGTGTCGTCCGTGAGCTGCTAGGCGACCCGCATTCGACGTTTGTCTGCAAAGGATGGCGAAAATGGAAATGAAGAGTTGCTTTGTTAGCGGTGAAAGAGTTAAAAAGATATCCGCCCCGTTGAAACTTCCCCCCTTTCGCGGATGTTGACGTCCCGCGATTATTGTAACAGTTTTTTTACAGCATAAGTCCTCCGTTGGATTTGGCATGTGTGATGCATTTGCTGTTTCAGTGTTTGTGGTTGGGCCTGGTCGGGGCTCTCACGACAGTCGTAGACGGCCATTTGAATGCAGCGGTTCGTCGTCATTGTGTGCATTTTGCTTGACTTTCTGCTAGTCGGTTTGGCTGCTTGTCCGTATATCAGTATGTATATTTGCATGTGCGTATGCATGAACACTGAAAATTAATGAGGCAACCGTCCATAACGGGTATTCATGGTTTGAGGATGCTAATTCATGCTTTGAGCATGAATTGGCTCAAATCTTTAATCAGGAGTGAAGGGGTAAATTAATTTTTTTTGAAATTTACCAAAGGTCGCTGAAACAAGTCTGGACACGTAAATTATCTTTTCACCCGAATCTGACTTGGTGAGCCTTGGGCTCCATGGGTTTGAATGGATGCCAGGGTGCCTGTAAGCCTGGGCAATCCATCTCCAAAACGGATGAAACAAAATTGCACGTGTCCAGAATGAAAAAAATTTTGGGCGAGGCCCCGGGCGCGAAGCGCCTTTCGGGGGGCCGAGCCCCCTAGGTTCACTGCTGTCAGTCCGTCCGTCCGTCCATCCGTCCGTCAGTCATGGTGTAACATTTCATCATATTTCGCCCCGATTAAAATTGCGTCTGAAAGCCATTCTAACTCTCTATCGATGGACCAATGGAATTAATTCAGATAAATTTGTGGGCGAAGTTAGCTTCCTAACATATTAACTTTCATATCTCGCCCCGTTTAAATTGCGTCTGAAAGCTATTCTAAATCTCTATTGATAGACCAAGGGAATGCGCCTCCATATCGCGCAAAAGTGCGCGGGTCCCGTCCCGCCTGATGTTGTATCCTCATGATAATATACCAATGGCACGAAAGAAGTTTCAGATGAAGGAGCCTTTCGCCTCAGGCGGGTGACCATAGAGTGACGAGGGGTGCCGGAGAGTGCTCTGAGCGCATCCCAGGTGCGCGACGGCACGTAGGGCCCACTTATAACGTTTAGTAAGCAAGAACGTCATTAAATACAGCATTTTCAGGGATTCGGGAGTTTCCGACAGTTTTCACGAGGTTTCGCAGAAGGGTCCAGAAATCGGAAATCATGCTTTTAAATGTTTCCTTTGGCTCCCGCTCATCCCTATCATGATTGCCTGTCGGTGGCCAGGTAATCTTGGGGGGATGTGCGGGGTCGTGGGGCTGCCGCCCCACTTCCCCGCACTTTCCCCTCTCTCCTGCCCCTTGTTCTTGGAAAGCTTTAGGCGAAAGTTTTTATCGGCTGGCATTAGCAAGCCTGTGGGCTGTGTGCCTTTTCCAATGATTGAAACGGTTTGTTTTCTTGCATTGGTCGTACAGTGCAAATTGCCCACACATTGCCAGTTGTTGCAACAGTAAAGTATAAGCAATTGACGAAGTGTAAGGAGAATGTCAGTATGGAGAATTAAGCATCTAAATTTGTGATTACAGTCGAGGTGAGCCGTTAGTCCCTCCCATTTAAACTGGGCAGGTTGCAGGTTGTCCGCCGTCACCAGCATGTCGTTGGCAATGTGCACCGCACTGTTGCCTCCGTCACCGCCGCTGCCGTCGGGCATGTTAGACTTAGCGCTGTCAGCGCTACCACCCGAGCAGCGGTGGACTTCCCGACTTTCCGCCGCCGCCACTGCTGCTGCTGCTGTCGGGTTGGCAGGCCGTCACTGACCGGGGCTGTGGCATGTGCAGGGACTGCCGTTGACTGCGGGTGTTGCGATGGAAGGGGTGGTGTAGTGGTATCTACCCTGGGCGAATTTAGCGTGGTAGAGGCGACGTTGACTGGCGCCGATGAAGTAGACGGGTAGCTAAGTGTAGGTGAAGATTGTAGTGAAATCCAGAGTTGAGAGGTCGTCGTTCAGGTCGGCTTCAAGCCGCCTTAAATAGGGCTCAGCCCTGTATTGCTGTCAAGCGGACCGGTTATCAACCGTTGGTCTGTCAAACTCGGACAGGCCGAAGTCCCTTCATCGTTCACGATCGGTTAGTTTCTAACAGCCATCTTGGCCGAGTCCTTCTTGGACGTGGTTACTCGCGTTCGTACGTGGTACCACACCGTTGCGGAGGTGGACGCACCGGATGGCAGCGCGTGGGAAAGCGGGGCCGCCCCGTCGATGACGACGAGTACGCGGATAGGCTAGGCCCGGGTGGGATGCAAATCACAAAAGCGATGCTGAAGCGTCGCCGGAAGGAGCAGAGGTGCTGGTGGTGTAACTCGGAGCAGCACTGGTCGGAGGAGTGCCCCCTGTGGCACGTCAACAACGGCGCCGGCGGTTCGGGCGCCGGGGCGGGAACCAAGGCGACCGCCTAGGATGTTGCCCTAGATGACGACTCAGCCCGCCGGCAGTCTAGGGAGAAGTCGGTAAACGTTTTTCGTGGTTTTAGGGTTTTGGGTTTTCGTAGCCGATGAGTTGGCTACCCTGGCTACCCTGGACACGCATCGGTAGGCCTTTCACCTTTGATGCCCCGCCCGCTTGGACCCGCACCGCGGCCGGTGCCGCCTGCGCCACGGCCAGCATTCGGAGCGTACCCGCCCCGACCGCGTCCAACCGCAGCGGCGTAGTTCATGGGTGGAGCCTCTGGCTCCTGGTTGGCAGGAACGGGGATAGCTGCGTTAGACTTTACGGCATTCCGCCCGGATGCGTTCTCGAGCAGCTGCTGGCGCTCCGCGCCAAGTGCATGAGCAAGGAGCTGAGCATAAGTCGTATGCGGCTCCAAGGTTACCGGGTTGCAAGCAACTGCCTTGCGCAACGCGGGTAACAATGCCATGCAGAAGTGGAAACATTTTGTGCTTTCGGGCATATCGGGCAGGTCCTGAACCAAGGACTGGTATCGGCTCGCAAACGTGGCTACCGCCTCGTTGGGGCCTTGCTTG